AATAACGTGGCGACTACCAACTATGGGGACTTTCAGAGGCATAGCATTTCGCGGTACGTATTACTGTCATGGATAACATCAACAATAAATCTAAATTGCTAACGAGCACAAACATTTTAAAACGAAAAAAAAAACACGAAATGTTTATATTGAAAACAAGTCCAAGTATTAAATATGTGTAGGAAGCATGAGTATATATCGTAAAAATACACATACAGGTCAATATGTTCATTATGATAGCTTTGCTCCATGGAACCATGATCTCCTGGATTCGTAGTTTAGTTTCTAGAGTCCACAGATTGTGTACTCCTGATAAAATTCAAGCAGAGCTTAGTAACATCAGGAAGTTTATGTCTTGGAATGGGTACCCTTTAAAAGTTGTTAATAATGTACTTAAGAAATTAAATGAACCTAAATGTATACATAGGCCTACTGATGATAGCTTGATTAAGATTTGAGTTAGATTGCCTTATCTAGGAAAACCAGGTGAGTTCATTCTACGTAGATGTTTAAATAAGGTAAAGAAACACTTAATTAAAGAGGTAAAATAGCAGTATAGCAGTATAAATATGTTTCTCATTTTATATCTACTAAGGATCCAACCCCTAAGGAGTACAGAAGTTCTGTTGTCTATCATTTTAAATGTCCAGGCTGTAATAGTGATTATATTGGTAAGACAGATAGGTGCTTAATAACTAGACTTAAAGAACATTCTTCACGATCTGATAGTGTTATACTTGATCATGTTAAAAACTGTGAGGCATTACAATATGTTTTAGGATTACAGGGTATACTTGAAAATGATAATGTCGTCTGTAATGTAAGTAATAAATTAGGTTTAATATTTTCTAGTACTAACATTATTGACAGCTCCCGAAACTGGTCTATCCTATTGTTTAAAGAAGCATTCGCTATACGTAGACTACACCCTTTGCTTAACAATGTGCTCAGAGCTTCAAAAGAGCTTTCTTTGTTTTTGTAGGTATCTTTGATCATTAGAGTAAGAATGCTTTGATCTCTTGTTTAAATCACCGCTATGTCACCTACTAGAGGTAATGTTTTGATTGGTTAAACACTTTTGGTACTAGTGCATGTAAGCTTGCTAATATGGATAATTTTTTCATTCCTGATGATGACATAATTAATGTCGAAATATTGAATCCCAACACGATGGCGTGTATTTCAATACTTGGAGAATGTATTATACTTTCCTATAGGACCTTTTTACACAAAAGAACATGATTATTGCAGCAGCCCCCTGGCTACAGTGGCATATCTAAAAGAGGTTGTGGGGGAGCCCTGCCAAAAAATTAGAGCATCCCAACCCTCTCAGATGCCCATCCACTAGTGAGCAAAAAATTACACTTAAGTAGTTGTTATAGTGTCAGGATCATATTTAAAAAAAAATTCTTGTTCGCACGATATCTCAAAATTGCTGTGAGCAAAACATGCTCGCTTCAACGAACATTTGGCTTGACCTGGAATAGTTACAGTGAGCTGCTCAACGTGCTCAGTCACGAGGGACGTCATCTACGCGCAATCTTGCGTATTTTACATTATCGATCATATCATCCTAACCAATTGACATTTCTAAATCATTCAGTGTGCATAAACTTCAGGTCAAGGTCGAATATCACGTACCAAAATATTTCGCATGCACGTCATAACCCGCACGCACGCGTGCATCAAAGTTTAAAAATGCTCAAAATAACTTTTAGACTAAATTAGAGCACGTTTCAGTCCACTTTGAGCATTTAAAATTAAAAAAAAAAAATTTCCAATAGCGCGCACAATTTTATGCGTGCAGCACGTACGGAAGCTAGAAATTACGTTTTTTTTTTGTTTTTTTTTTACATATTTTGGGTTCCTGACATTGTTTTCACAAATTTCCATTCTTTTCAGTCATCTTATGGCCAATAGCAATGTCGTATGTGCGCATCAAACAGGGATCTTTGCGCGCGTTTGTGCTGATATACTGTACATTGAAAATATGCTAAAATCAGGCCCATTTTTAATCAGGTATAGCTCCTTAGGAGAAAGGCGACTTCAATTTTTATTACATATTCTAAAAGTACATGAGTTGTAAATATGATTTTATAGATCATAATGGTTGATCGGACGTTGTGACATCATTTTATTGCCATCTGAATTCAAAAAACTGAATTTTATCTATGACGTCATTTTTGAAAATACGCATTTGAGCGTATCGCGCTTATCCTCGATCGATCGTCTCCCAAACCGAATATGTTATAGCTGAGACAATTCTCTTTCATATATGTGACTGCTTTTATATTTTGATGACGTCATCATGGTCAAAATAAATGTATTTTCTGACCCCCCCCCTCATTCTTTCCTCAAAACTTTGATGACCCCATTCGTCATTTCTGAATCATATTCAGGCGACCCCCAGTTTTTATTACATATTCTGAAAGCAGTTGTAGATATCATATTGCCATCAGAATAAAAAAAAACTGAATATTATTCATGACGTCATTATTTTTATACTCATTTGGACATTATCTCGCCTATTCTTGATCGATCGTCTCCCACCTGTGAGTATGTTATAGCTGAGATAATTCTCTTTCGGAAGTGTACCTTCATTTTTCGTTTTGATGACGTCGTCATGGTCAACAAAATGAATGTTTTTCTACTTCCCTCTTCCCACCTCTTTCATTAAATCTTTGACGATCCCGCGAGAGAGAGAGAGAGAGAGGGTAGACTTGATATTTTCCTGCACAGTTTGAAAATCCTGGCTAGAGTATTTTTCCATATTTCACTTTTAAGCGCTGTAAGATTTCTTTTGCCAGACAAGCAGATCACCAACTCGTCCGAAGTGACGAGTTCAATTCTGGTTAGAATGTGCTCATGTCATATAACCTTCCACTTTTCATCATCTGAGAGGTAGATAGTCAAAACACTGCATCTCCCGTAATGCCCCAAAATACACCACTGCCTGCAGCTTGAGTCATTGAGAAATCATAGGCATTACACCACTTTTTATTAAACATACTGTAATATTAATTTAACCAGTTCAAACTAATATATGTTTATATTATTGATTTACCTAATACCAAATATACTTAATGCATTGAAACATTTTAAGTAAATCATGCAAATATGATTTTTGATTCTACTTATCTCGTAAGTTATATTGAATGTAAATTGTCTAACAACATATCTGTTAAATACTTGGAATATGTATCAAACACTTCTGGAAATTTTAGAAACAAAATAGTTTTTTTTTACATTTATTTTTATTATGCCCTCTGCTCCCCTGAAAACTCAATAAATATGATATGTGTATTTCTTCACTAATGATATAAATTTAAAGCAATCTTATTACTACACTGTTTACATTCATCAATAAAATGGTATTTTAATTTTCTCCTCCACTTAGATGCTTTTGGCAGAACATTTGCTGAATAAGAAAACAAAATTTTATTTTTATTTTGTGTCGCCCTGCTATGGCGATCTTTAAAAAAACGAAGTTTGCTAAACAAGGTATAAAAAAAGTTTCACCTAAGTGATCTTTCTATTTAGCCTGAGCAAGTTGTCATTTTCTTTTTGGATTATTTTATGAAGAGTTTGAAAGCTTAATGACACCTGATTAGAATGTTTTCAACTGGGTTGTACTTCACTACTAATTTGAAATACATTTAAAATACAGCTCAAGCAACATATTTTAAACAACAATTGTATTTTTCATTTCCATAGCTTTTCTAGGTGCATGTATATGCTTTTTTTTCATGATTCAATTTATTTATTTTCTTCTAAATCTATCTATTTTGATGACTTTTTGCTGTATTGAAATTTAATTATAAATTGTTAGATATGCTACATAATAAATACATTGCAGCATGCTCTTTATTCAATATGGATATGAAGAATTGATTCAGCGATCCTGAATTGGAGGGCAAACTGTGTTAGGAAGGAATTTACTATTGAAGCTTGAATTATGATTTAAATATATATTTATTATTATTATTATTTATTGTTATCATTTATTTATTCGTATTGTATTGTATTATTTCATTTATTTAGTTCAAAGAATAAAACTGACAAACACACACACACACAAAAAAAAAAAAACAAAAACAAAACCAGAGAGAGAGAGAGAGAGAGGGAGAGAGGACTAAACACTCATTTGGCTGGACAGCATTGCCAAAAAGTAAACTAAATTACTTTCTGTGGGTCTCGATGCCAACGAGAACATAAATTAGTTTAAAACAAAAATATGTAGGCCTATATAGTACAAAATCATCAACAGTTAAAAGTATGAGATAATAAATGAAAATATTATTAAAAATAGACATACAAGAATTGCAGCGTAAAAAAATGTTAAAATGTTCATTTTCGAGGGTAAAATGTGAGAAAGGAAAGATAGAAATAGAATTATTGCTTTGCATAAAACAGTTTTAAAGTTATAAAAGAATTCATTCTAAGAACAAGTTCGTCTCGGACATCAGTGGGAAGTTTATTCCATACTCATGGAAAGTTATTATAATTTTTGATTTATTTATTTATTTTATTTTTATTCTATTGATTGTTTGTGTGTGTTTTTGAAGGAAATATTCCCCAAATATTCTTTATTATATTAAATTGTTCAGTTTAGGATTTTAAGCCTTTCCCGTTGAAGATCCACTACCATAATTGTATACAAATACATTCATTTACATAATTATGTAGGCCTACTTGCCATTTAGCTATACGGTATAATTTGACTGTTGTTTATGACATTTTAAACATAAAATTCTTTCATGTCTTCCAGAAAACCGTAGTGTTTACAGATAGATTGAGGTTTAGATTTTGTATATCACCACCAACGGAGAGATACCAACACTTACAACAAATCTGTTAGCTGCGAGTTTCTTGGTGTTAGTTAAGTGAGCTCTCTACCAATTAGCTAGGGCAATTTCTCACTTACGCGTTCCCATTGGTGAATGGTAATGAGAGTTTGAAACCTTATTTATGTCACGTGATTAGAATGTTTTCAACCGGAAGTTGCACTTCACTACCTTACAACACCTTACATCGTTGGTGGACTTAGTGATAATCATCTAATTCTTTGTAAATAAACTGAATTTTCAACACATTTGATATTATTCTGGAACACATTATATTTTGTCAATAAGGTAAGATTATATATTGATAAAATTCTATGACAATTTTGTTGTTATTTTGGGCAGTATACCGTACAGATAGAGGAGAATACATCGACATTTTTATTTAGGCTGCTGTATGTTGAGGCCTAGCCTAACCTAAAACATTGCAGTAGTTGATGAAGGTGGGATAAGGATTGGACTTGGAACATGAGCAGGTACTTGGCGGATTTAAATTCACGAATATCACTAAACAGCAAATAAGCGTGCTTGTTTGTTTAATATTGTTTAGTGTTGTTATGGAGAGGCATTCGCACGTTTCCTTTCGATTTTTTTAGCAGTTTAAAGTAGGCCTAGCCTAGACTCAATTTATTTACTAACTAAACTACAGGTTACCAATGATGTATGAAAACCACAATGAAAATATTCGAGAAACTATCAGTTTTCTCCCACGTGAAATTCCTTGGCTTAAAAAAGCTTCACACAAACAAATGTCCATAATAATAGGCCAAAGCCCCTCCGCCCTTCATTCTCAGTAAACTATCTCACATCTGCCCTAATTTATTCTCAGAAATTCCAGTATTCTATGGAGTCCATTCTGTATGTTTTGCTCAGACAATCAGTGAAATTTTATACCGGGATTTTATCAGATTCATTAGCTCTCATTATCAATCATCTAGGCTAAGCCTATGTGTTCCCTACTCATTAATGCCTTTAATAATTTAGTATTTATTTTGTTTTGAAATGTTTTAATTTGTAATTTAGCTGAAACAAACTGTTCAGAAATAAATTAGGGCAGGTTTTTTTTTCACTTAAAAAAAATTAATATGGCAGTGGCTAGAGGTATAATACTGTACTACTTGACGACAGGATATTTTCATTGATAATTATTAATTTGCACAATGCTTAATTCTCTTTTGATCGTATGTAGTGACGGTAGTACATTACCGAACCTCTAGCCACAACATTTAGTAAAACAGCTTCTTGATAAAATGGAAAGGTCACCCTCTATAAATATGGTTAAAAAACTATAACAAAAAGAAAAACATGCTAGTTATTAATTCCTCCATATTCATGACTTAATATTGATCTATCTTCTGTTGACTTTACATCTTTCATTTTAAAGCTACAATATATATTTTATGGAAATTATTTCATTTGGACCAACAATAAAAACATGCCTTTTCATTTAGCTTGTATTGGTGAAATAAATACATATCAATGAAAATACCTAATTAAAGTTTGGATAAATTTTACTAAGGCCTTATTTGCTATGAAAGTAGGCAACTCAAATTTGTAGACTTTAATATAAAAATAGGAACAATATTTAATTATTTGATTCTTTTTCAGAGTATCATGTGTTTCATCATGGTGGTTTTGAAATTCATATATCCAGATAGCACAAACTAGTGTCTACAATAACAAAGTAATTTTTTACAATAATATTGATACTTAAGCTTTGTTGAATACACTCTATTATCTTGGATTCAAAGGTGAACTTAAAGTGTAGTTTAAAAGTAGGAATAGAACTGTAAAATAATGAAAATAGTATGCATACCTGCCCAGCAAGGGGCAAACATCGAAGTATCCGTCATGGCTTCCCTATTAGCTTCAATGATGGCTAGCCTAGACTTGTCATTTAACATGTTCTTTAAACTCCACTAAAGCATTTCGCGTTTAGAATATAAATTTTAGAGATCATAAGTCCCTCAAAGTTGCTGATTTTTAAGGTTTTCCTTTCGACCTCAATTTGTGAATTTTAAAAATTAATATTTAAACAACTCTCTATTTCCATTTCATTTCCCTTAACAAACATTAGAGTATTTTTTTTACAATTTACATATTAACATAAAATCGTAGGGCCTATCCACAGCTTAATTACAATCTTTTGTTAGTAATCTGTGTCGAGATACTTTTTGTCTGAAATTTGTAAACAATTAAAAAAAAAAATTTAAAAAAAAATTTTTTTAAATAAAATATAATTTCAAACACAACCATTTTATAATAATAATACAACAAAAATGATTACATAAAAAATAACAAAAGCATATTTAACAGAAAGAGACGATATACTGAAAAAAATAAAAATAAATAATTGTATCTCATAAATTTTATTCTGCAAATAACAAGTTTCTTCGTATTTTTTGTAATTATATGAATTAAATGATTAAAATTGAGAAATTGTTCCTTAACTTTACAACGAAAAATGTACAGTACCATTTTGTAATAATAATAAACAAGTTGCTTTTAATTGATTTATTAAACCCATAACATATGCTGTCATTAGAATCTTTTAAATTGTTATTAATATTTCGATATATATATATATATATATATATATTGTTTCGCATTTTCCCATATTTTCTTTACTACATCACATTCAATAAACATACAACGTTTCCTGCTTCGTAATAACATGTCGGTGAGTCGACCTTTGACATTTTGAAAAGCATTGTATTTGTATAAATTATATGATGAATAAACTTAAATTGAAAATTCTTTAGATTTGTAAGCTTAAATCTTATTCTCTCCTTATATGATTTTGCAAGTTCTATGGTTTTAGACTTTGCTACCAATTTGTAGCTATTGAGTTTCCATTTTTATTAAAGGTAGTCAGGAAATTCCAAACCATTAAAATAAAACCCAATTTGTTCAGAAGGATTTGAAGTTCAACATACATGTTTAAAACTATTTGTTTGAAGTTCAACATACGTGTTTAAAATATTGGGAAAACTAAATTTGATTATCTGAAGGAGTCAAAGTACAGTATTCCCTTGGCCATATGCAAGGCTTGAAATATGGATTTATCTCTGGTATACCCTAGTTTAGATCTAATGCTAGTGTAACAATCCTGTTAATACAGCTTACAAAATCAATTAAATTTGACTGTGATGAAGTGTTATGCAGGAGTTGTCCATGTAGAGAAAAGCTATTTTTCCCATGATATACTTATGATGGGGTTTTTTTCACTTTGGCATACAATCACTATTTTTATCTGACATTTTGATCAAGCTAAAGAAACAGATGAAGTGCATGCTTGTTGTGTATAAATTAGAAGGTATAGTATAATAGTCAACTATTAACTACAGTAACACAACTGTTTTCTGTTTTGTATGAAAGTCTAAATTATTGATTTGTATTCATGATTAGTCAGGGGTAAATAATGGTGTAGGAAGAATGCCCTGCACTTGGACTTCCACTAAATAATAACCCTTGACCTTTACATATATATTTCTATTTTTATTATAAAGATACTAAAAACATTTTTTTTTATTATGTTAACCCTTGACACAAATAGGCCTTTGAAAAAAAATGTTCTTTCTATTCCAGAAAAAGGCTAAATTGTAGAAAACATTTGTGTGTTGTTGAATAAAATCATTTGTGTGATATTCTAATTAAATTTTGGCATGTCTTTTTCCTTTATTGATTGTCAATTTAATTTTGATTGAATATCAGTGCTGTTTAGAGCTAGTAGACTTTTGACATTAGCATCATTGTAATTTGTACGTATAATTGCACTGATTTTACAAATGGCTGTGTATCTTGACGCAGGGTTCCCGGAACGCCGCCCTCAGCGGAGAGTTCGAAGCACAACTCAGGGTCAAAAGTGGAACGTGAAATTTGGATATGATTTTGTAGTCAGATTTGCGAGAAAAACTTCAGCTACCCGTATTTCTCGACTGAGACGTTAGTAGGAGCTGTAATTTGTATGGCAAGGAGATTGAGCAACCCTTCATTCATATTAAGGGAATTTACGCCCAGAAACTTTGTAGTTATTAATATTTTGGTTATAATAGAAAATATTCATTT